TATTGATTAGTATATTTGCTTATTGTGGCGTATTGATACCGTTGCGACTTCCAAAAAGAAATCATTTAAAAAAAAAAACGGTAACACATTCACGGCAACTTGAAGATTCGTGAACACTATAGTCAACATATAGATAATGCATGGAATACAAATGAGTTGTATATGAAATTCAAATAATTTAATTGATTCGCTTTGATTTTCCGTATAACAAAGCAATTATTGACTGGGGTTTAGGGTAACATTGATTGTTTAGCCCCTCGGGACGAAGATATTGCCCTCCGCTCCGCGTTTGGAAATATTTCATCCCTTGGGGATTAAGATATTAATCAATTTTGCTCTAAACCCAGTCAATGTTTGTATATTACTGTCAAACACTAAATAGTAAACCTCTTAATCTGCGAAACTGTTCCTATTTTTGTTTTATTTCTTATATGAAAAGGTAACACTCTTCGACTTTTTACTACAATGCTTTTAAAGACGGGAATACATTGCCATTAGAGATCAAAGGGCTGAAGGTAAAACAAAAAAAAATACATCGTAAAAGCTGCTAAATCCATTTTAGCTACAATAACAAGAGACATTTCTTACTGGTTTGTGTAATGTTTTGTATTCCATAAGTATCATTATCTTTTTTTTAATCAATAAAATCAAAACGTCATCCTACAAAACATATCAAGTTTTCAACTCACTCTGCAATATCTATAATTCCCAACCTAACTTCCAGTATGTATTTTTTCATGTATTTTTTGAATTGTTATTATCGCACATACTCGCCCATAAGTCGTTTCTTGCAACTGGAGAGTTGAATTTTGGTCCAAAACTCTATGACCCACATACAGGCGAGTTCCTAAAAGATTGGTATTTTTCTGGAAGGCAAAACGTAGTATTTTTTAAACAGCTCCTATGATAACCTTTGACAAAAGTCTGGACGAATTATTTTATTTATGTATTCTAACATTATGCATAAAAGTACTAGTAATTTAATATTTTAATAAATAAATTTTATTTTAAGCATGTATTATTTATCTTGTTAATTCTTTCAGTAACTTGTGACTTTCTATAAATCTATCGTTTATCGGTAAAATTGAATTGCAAACCAGAAATTGCGATTGCGAATTATTCATATGCCCTGTCTCAAAGATTTTTGATAAAAGATTTAATATTCATTAGTTTGAAAAATAATTCAAAATATAATTCTTGACTCTATACTATATTGTAAATGAAATTAATTATTCCCCATGGTTTGTGGTTGGATATGATTTTCTTATCCACCCTTCATGTGTTTTTATCCACGGACCTTGGCGATTAAAAAATCATATCTAAGCACAAACAATGGGAGATTCTTTTTATCTCACGTTTTACACACAGCTATTTGTGCAAAACGTGAAATAAAAAGAATCTCCCATTGTTTGCACACAGCTATTTAGTCGCCTGCGTGGCGCAGTGGTTAGAGCGTTCGCTATAGAGTCGCGGAGTAAGGAGTTGATCCTTACGTCGCGGGTTCGAATCCAAATCCTTCGGATGAGACCGTATAAACCGAGGTCCCGTGTCGCAGTAGGTGCTGGCACGAAAGAGATCCCTCACTGTTCAATGGCCCTGAGAGCCAAGTATAAGTCAAAATTTGCAGCTCTCCACCGGCAAGTGGTGGCGTCTCCATATGAGTGAAAAATTCTCGAGAGGGACGTTAAACAACACACAAACAAACAAACAAACACACAGCTATTTCATGTTTCACACTGTTTTATATGTAAATCCACATTTAACTTGATCAAATTCACGCAAAAACCATACTAACGTCTCAACTGTGTATAAGAAAATGATATCCCATCAGCTATATCCACTGTATAATCTGCATCCGATAAATATATATCTTGCTTAGTGCTGAGATATTACGTTATGTTTCTATCTTTTTATACATGTATACATGACATTTTGTGATATTTTGGAAAAAAAATTCCATTTATATTCTATAATATTCCAATTGAACTGTAAAATTTTTTTTCATTGTACAATTTTATATTTGTATGCTATAATTTTACCGTTGTATTGTTTATTCGTTATTCAATCATTGTATAATTTCCTTTTGTATTGTAAAATACACTAATTATATTCCATAATCATAAGTTTAAAATTGTAATGCATATTAGTTCTATTAATTTGAAATCGATAACAAAAGTTATTTTAGATTTATTATTTGAATATTGAGTTAAAGTAACAATAAAATATTATCAATCGGTGACTCGTAAATTCATTCAATGCTGTAAGATACTATGACTTGAAGGAAGGTAGTAATATACGTCACACCAAAGTTTGTGAATAACTGTTAATATAACTAATAAACAATGAATCACCATAAAACAATAAACATATTGATATTTTAAGACATAAAAAAGGAATGTAGTCATAATGTTCGTGAGCAAAAATTTCCTTTTAAGACCTGAGTAAGCATCTGGGCGGGGAACATCGTGGCTTCTCTGTTATGCAGTTTAATGATGAAATGATGACTATTTTTTAGAGTGTTGTCCAGTTACACTACTTAAATGTGGTCGAGTCAACATGGTGTTACAAATTTAGATATAAGATGTACATTTTAAGTATTACTTCCGACAAGGAATTTTATTTACAAGCTATTTGACCTATTTGCTACTTAGCCATACTGGTGCAAAAACATGTAAACTATGAAATTTTCTTTTCCAGTTAAATATTGTTTAGTTTCCAGTTTTATAATAAATGTTTATACTCTTGAAACATATTTATCATGTATCCCTCAGCCATATAAATTACCTTTAATTCTTGATGTTTATTTCAAAAATGTTATTTCTGTAATATAAATTATAGAAATAATTATGACCATGTATAATATTTCTGCGAAATTGATATGCTTTGCATAATTATTTGAAAGTTGTTCCCTATGTTAAACCGGTGATTTCCTTTTTCATGGAGTAGTTCATATTGGAGGAATCAGGAATTTTTATATTTTTTATATTTTTATATTTACAGTACCAGTAACTGTAGAAAAATGCAAGCATTTCGTATGTAGTTGAATATACAGTGGTGACAATATGCCACGAATTGAGTATACAAATGGAGGAAGCTTGCGAATGAATTTTTACAGTTAATAGTTTCTCAGTATAACTCTTTTATTGTATTGTTAAAACATTTTCCCATTGATCTATATTAATCTTTTTAATTAAGAAATTCAAATTAAATGAGAATTTCATTCTTGGTATCCAGTTCATTAAAAGTATGGAGTATCAGCGTCTGCCCTGGAAGTATTCAATATGACACCATTCCAAATACTGTGCAAAGCGATTGCTTATAAAGACTACATTATTAAGGGCCATTCTTTTAATGATTTACACTTTAATGTAGGAGTTGTGACACGCATAGTCTCAGAATTTCTCCAAACTCTCTATTACAAAAGTCTCAAATCAGGTAAAAATTGGTTGCCATGCGTCATGGTTATCATTGCAACATGCGCTATAGTTTTGAAAATGGCATTTTTGAATATGTTCCGAGTCCCATTGATATTGTTAACGTTTGCAGAAATGGAAACAAGTTTAAATGCATGATAAATATATATATATGGGAAATCAACTATTACAAACGTTACTATGAAAACAAAGTGTTCAAATTAAAGGTAAAAATTTAAGCAATAAAATGCTTTCTTTGGTTGTTAGCACGGGAATTAATGTTGCAGCTGATGCAGAAAAAATGCATAACCCGCGTAAGTGGGTTATGCAAATTTTTTTTCTGCAATAAAACTCAGACTAGGTTTGGCCTTAACAGAAGAAAATTAATAATTTCTTATACAGGACAGTGTACTCGGTATTTAGCCATTACTTAGCTACATTGTATTGTGACTGACTTGCCCTGACTCTTTAGCTTAACCAACTTTCCACTGAAATTTGGTTTTAAAAAATCGTGAACAAAGTAATATTTTTTTGTTGTTGAAAATCCCGAATAATTATTTCAACAATTTAATTTCAATTAGAAATTAAATTAGAATAAACCTATTTAATGATTATCATACATCTGATGAACATGACAGAGCTCTTCAGTATGATCTATTATATGTCTGTATCATCTTTGATTGAAAATATCTATATTATGTTTTCTTTGATAATATCTCTACATTTTGATCAGTTTTAAGAAAACTTCAATATTCAAAAAAAAAAAAAAAAGAAAAAAAAAGAAATGAGAAATATTCTCAGAGTCTAATTAAATAAAGCTATGCTATTTGAAATTTCTGTAATGATTACGTGTCCATGTTTATAATGTCCAGAAGGACTTCTTCAACTGCAAGTATCATAAATTTTATAGGAAAAATTTACAATTGATCAATATTACATTTGCAGATAAAAAAGTGGATTTTTGGTTCCAAAACCTACGTGATATCTGACAGAAGGCAGTAAAAGCTGAAATGATATCAATGTAAGAATGATATCATATATGTAAAAATGTCGCAAAAATAAATCTAAATAACAGACAATCACACAAGAAGCAGGAAAGGAAATGAATCATCAAGGAAATAAACACCATTACACATAAGGAGAATAAACCTATGTGAACTTATTTTTATTTTAGAATTATTTCAATTCTGTACTGTTTAACCATGGGCGGATGTATATTTTCAGATCTTAAGACGATCGAATGACCTAAGACTAGAGTGATTAGTACAATCGGTTTTGCATATTAAGCAAATACCCTGCAAAAATTACTACAAGGAAAAATCTTTTCTTCAAATAGAGAACATGTGCACGTGTTTATCCTAATATGTAGCTAGCGTTGATAAATAAAGTTGTTCTCCGGTGCAAAATATGCTGATAATTGATATCTTTGTTCCTTAAACCGCCGTCACAGAGAGAGAGTATCATCTCGGAAATGACACGGTCTCCCACTTACAGGAAGATACGCTATAAAAGCGGGGAAAAGACTACAAGTACCAGATTATTCATATAGATATTGTTAATGTGTGAGCAAATACTACTACAATACCGTAAAGAATAATGGATTTAAATAATACTAATTTAACGAACAATGGCATAGACATTATAACACTCAATGATCTCCGTGCTCAGTTCTTGTTGCCAAACACCGTGGTTTTGAGTGTGTACTTGGTGGTTGGTGTCATAGGAAACTTTTTGGTGTTTTACGTGTATAAATTCTGCATGTCCAGACACCGCTCAGACAGGTTCTTTATTCCCTATCTGGCAGTTTGTGATGCCTTGTCTTGTATAATTGGAAGTGGATTCGCCATCTCTTTAAACATGCGGCCCATTCGCTTTTCGGGAGATGCTCTGTGTAAGGGTGTATGGTTCATGACGAAGTGGTCAACAGTTGTGTCTGCTCTTATGCTGTTACTGATAGCGGTAGATCGGTACAAGAAAGTATGTCGACCCTTTAAAAATCAGATGACACCCCTGGCCAAACAAGTATCCATGGTGACGATTTTTGTTGTTTCCGCTGTAGTAACATTTCCAACTATATTCTTTCATGGTGAAATCCAGTTTTCAGCAAGGGGTGCACCCCATCTTACAGGCAAGGATTTTTTTTATTCCTCTAATATTTATTTTTTTTAATTCATTCTTAATGTTCATATTGTTTACTCATCTAACATTAATAATTTATGATCCCCTCATTGATTTTATCTTGAATGTTAATCTAAGAATGTATGTATTAAGTTATATTATATTATACTATTATATTATAGGACATATGTGCGGTCGAAATAGTCTCTTTACTGGACTGGAGACATATTTCACGGTGTATAACGGTGTTCTTGCTTCATTGGCTTTCATAGGAATCACCACCGTCACAATTTTATATTATTTCGTTGGAAAGACCATTTATAAACAGACGAAATTTCGAAATCGTTTTACCTCCTCTCCAAGAAAAAGCTTTGTTCCTGCAAATTTACCCAAATCAGACTCCGGAGTCGTGTCAGATGGAAATGATGACGTTTTCGTCGACAATTCAACTAAAGAGGAATCTGACAATAAAAAACGAAAGGATTCGTCAGAATCCTTCTACTCGACAGACGATGATCTTGAAGACTCCAGTATTCCAGTAGCAATTCGAGAAAATGGTCGACGTAAAAAGAGCATCGTCAATCAAGTCCTAAGTGTTCAGCAAACTCTAAAGAAGTACAAGATCTCCATCTTATTTATGTTAATCACAGTGGTATTTGTACTAACATTTACACCCAGACTAGCCATAATGATTCAGGAGGCAGCAAATAAGGAGTTTTGGACTGGACTCTCAGACAACCAAATAAGACTGACTTTATTTTTCTATAGGTTTTACATCGTCAATAACATTGTAAACCCATTTCTTTATGCTGCATTTGATCCCCGTTTTACTCGTGAAATTAAAAAGCGTATACCATGTTTTAAAGAAGCTTCAGTATAATTGCTGTAGCATTGTAATAATGTCTTTTCCAAATGTATGAAGCATATGGTTCTTGGCAAGGCTGTCTGTTCATATGTCTGTTATTTATTAGTGCCCAGGACAATACCCTCGAACCTTGATTAGAATGGATTTAAACTTAAGTATGTTTGAATTTGTCCATGACTAAACGGCTTGTCATTATGTTGAAACGCGGTCAAGTGTCAAAAGTCAATAAGTGAACTTTCCAATAAGGTCTGAATAGCACACGTCTATGTTCTTGTAACTTGCTAACAAGACGGAAGTAGGGAATAGTAAGGGGGCTCTGGGGATGCATACATTGTATATTAAGGGCTGATTATCAAATCTGGGATCTTTCTTGTCATTGTTTAGGAATGATTACCATATAGAAACTTGAAGCGTAATTTACGAAAATGTAAATAATTAATGGATATCAGATTTGGCCCTTGCATTTCTCCCGTCAGCTATAATTTATCTTCAGTTTGGATGAAAGCACATTCTCCATTCTGATTGATATTATGCTAAAAAGTGTAAAATATACACTTTGCCTTCACAGGTTGTAACTCAGTTTCATCATTCCTTTAAATTTTACAAACAAAAGGAAGACTCCTTTGGAATATTTCCTACGGTGCATTTAGCGCATCTTATCAATAAGCAATCAGTAAACTATTAATGCGAAACGATGACATCATATATGACGTAATGATTCAGGTCTACAATACTAGGTCCCAAGCAAAGGAGTATGTGTTTCTACCACAAAGTAACTGGGTAGCATGTTTCCTGTATTCGTTCATCTGCCTGGCCCTTTAGCGTATTTTTAAACAATTAGCAAAGGGGTCATCTTATGTCATATGTCTTTCATCATATATAATTTATAGTTGAATATTTTTTTGTTGTTATATATAAGTACAGAATAGATTATTAAAATGTTCTTAATCTTAATTTCCTTGTCAATACAGAATGCTAGTAATGGATATAAAGGCATCAATATAAAGTTATACAGATACATTTAAACTCAACGAGTATACTTGCTTGCTGCAGGAAAAGTATAACGTACGTGTTTTAGTTGTTAAAGAGATTAACAAAAAAAAAAAAAAAAAAAAAAAAAAAGATTTGTACACTGTCGGTACACATAAACTGTTCTATCAATTTTTATAAAAATATTTTTGCTTAGTGTACTTGATAATGCTTTCTCTGTATACACAGTTCTATAAATTACATGCTATAACTTTTTACCTAGTCATAAATCTAATGATTTTTTAAAGATAAGCTAAAATACAAAAACACATTCATACAGATAGATAGGTCATATTGTCAGTAACATTATTTAGAGAATAATGCTTTTTTTATTTGTCCTTACAAGATTATGGTAATTCTGAAAATAGGAATATGTTTTCTTTCTTGTTTTTTAATTGTTTCTCCGTTTGATTTGTTCTATTGTTTTGTTTTGTTTTTTCAAATTTTGATAGATCCCTAGAAAGATAATTTTTATTTAAACCATTTTTAATGTGTAATAAATTTTATACAATTATTTATTCAAGATAAATGGAAGGAAGCAATGGATAGTTGCAACTGACTTCAAACCATCAAGAAATAATAAGATTTTAAAGCACCAAGACAAAGATATATTAAATGATTTTTTTTAAACAAGATGATTTTTATACACATTGAAAAAGTGAAGTTTCTGTTAGATGCATATATAACAAATTACCGAATGGAATACAAGTCCTCATAAGTTTCTTCCTCCTCTTTGTTTACAATTTTTCCCGTTTAAATGAACCCAAAATAAAAGACACCAAAGAGTATTTCCTAGAATGCAAATGATAATTGCAAACTAATAATACAACTAAACTAAAGGACAAACAGGATGCGTTTTCCATCATCAACTTTCCATATTTTTGTAGCAATATTCCTTTTTTACCTGCGTATGTGTCTCACAAGTGATTACATGTAACTACGCAAGAGCATGTTCTGTGCACAATCAAATTTTTTAAACGGAGGCAGGCTACTTACAAACAAGTTGATGTCATATGATTTAAATGAAATATGAAGATAACTCACACTTATCAAGCTCAAAAGTCCACTGGAATGTAAAATCATATATGGTACAAATTTTGATGCACCACATGCGCATTTCGACAAATTATGTCTCTTCAGTGATACTTATGCCGAGATGTTGGAAATCCGAAATATTTAAATAAAAAAGCTTTGGAGAGCTGAAAAGGCGGGGGGGGGGGGGTACCAAAGAACAAATACGTCAAAGGATCAGAGCTGTGCAAGGGAGAAAATCCTTAATAAATTTCTAGATATTACGACAGCAATTCAATATTTATCCGTATTTTCAAGCTAGTACCGAAATACTTAGCTACCGGGCTGTAGAGACCCTCGGGGACTAACAGTCCACCAACAGGAACATTGCTAATTAGGAGCAGAGCAAATGATGACCTCTAATAATAATTATTTTCTCAATTTACTGTAAAAAGTCTGTATATAATTGATATAAATAATGTTTTGAACATGAAATAGTATCAAATATTTTTTCAATTAAGTTTTTAGTAATGAAGATCATTGATAATTATAAAATAATTTTTGCACTCCTGACTGCAGTAAAATTAAAGCACTAGAACACAACAATTCTTAGAGTGTAGGCAACATCAAGCGGTAACGAAATTGCGCAATATTTATAGTCCAATACTGCATAATTAAAACATATGATAGTGTTTAAACTTTGCTTTATATCTTGAATTATTAGGCTGGGTAAAATGTATATTAAGAAGATAAAATATATTTTATACTATATTTTTTCACAGGACAAACACTGTAAGCACCCGAGGTCAATTAAAAACATTCTACTCATCATTTTGTCCTTTATATCTATTCATATTTGATCAGCAATAATTCTAACATATTTGTTGCACTCTTAACCAAGAGCATGGAAGTCTTTAAAGTAGCATTGTGAAGTGAAAATTACATCAGAATTGTTCTGTTGTTTCAGTGAAGTTTAGCAGTTGCTTGAATTTTATAACAGTTTTTTCATTGTGTTTATTTTTTACATTCATTAAAATTAAAGAAATGATAAAAATACATCTGCATTTTTTGAAACAAAATTGAAAAAAGAGAATGATTTTAATAATAAAACTGTCAATATTTAGTACTAAATTATTCAAATAGATAATTATTAATTAAAGAATATTTCTTATCATGAATAGAAGTATTTTCATCATATAACTTGAATCTTAAAAAATGCTTTGCACTCCTGACCATAGAAATATAGATCTTAAACAAAGACAGACACCGTAATTGATAAATCTGTTTGGTAAAATAAAAATCAGAAAATCATATACTGATAAAAGTTTTTCATGCTGTGAAGTAAAACATTAAATGTTTCACTCCTGGCATTATTGGGTATGCAAAGATACTTGCAATTGACTCTCATTATTGCTGTTTGTAATTTACATAACATTTTGAAGTTTTAAATTGTATATCAGGTTTTTTTTAACACTTTGAAAAAATCTTTTTTGACTTAATTGTCTTTCAGATTTTTGAAATTGATGTTTTTGGCAACACTCCTTACAAGTATAACATTTTTTTTTTCAACATCAGCCATGACCGCAACTTGGTTAAAAAAAGTTACTACAGTCTACATTTAAAGCTCAATACTTTGAATATTATCAGGAAAGTCTTTATTTCCAACATAAACCATTGTTATTTATTTCACAGATCTTCAAAAATTTGGAAATTTCAAAATGTCACATAAAAGTGTTGCACTCATGACATTTTTAGCATCATTTTTGGGCATAACTTTTTTGTGAATTGAGATATATTTGGCAGGTATTTAGACAATATCTAAGGACATATGCTGAAACATAGACATTTTATTCCTATTGCCTGTATTTTTCGTGTTTGTTAATTTTTTTAATTCACCCTAAGTTACAGTTTTATACATAATAAATTCCATATCGGGTGTGGTGTTTAAAGATAATTTTTTCTACTTTCGATTTAGACTATAACATTTCTGTTTGATCGTACGATTGACTCTAGCAAAACTTCATATACATCATGCATTGGAACAAATATTATGTTATACATGTAGTTATATTTGGTACATGTTTTGCTATATCTTTGTTTTATCTGGAAAGACAGTACGCTGCCTTATATAACATTGTTCTACAACACGAATCACTTCTTAAGGCTGGTCGTTTAAAACAAGAGACTTGGAAGGACATTTATTTAGGTAAAATCAAAAATGCATTGCTTGTTATTTACCTCATCCCTTTAGAGATCTAGACCGTGTTTGAATAACAATGCACTGGGTTTATACCAGTACATCGTAATTCAAAAAGTGATCCGTCTCTAAGTCCTTCATGCATTCATTGTACTTGTGGACAGGAACCCCCCCCCCCCCTTCAAGATTTGAGGGATATTTCTTATAAAGTGACAATATTTTTCATGTACACCATAGGAAAAAACACGAAAAACCTCAAAAGTCAATATAATAATTCCAAACAAAAAATTACCCAAGTATACATTATATGAGAGAGAATTCTCATATTATAAGGTGGGGTATTCTTTGTATGGAACAATTATTTTGCGTGTTTTTTGAATCCCGGAGTTGAACAATGGGGGATTCCTGTCGACAAATGTCTGTTATTTAAATACTAGTACTCAATAATCAACCTGATTTTACATTTTTATACTCTTTATGTAGGCAGACCTACATTGATATACATGCATATGTAGTACCCAACAAGCTGATTGAGACAATTACTTTGCGACATTTACCCTTACACATTTTTTTAATTAATAACAATGATTTTTTTTTGAAGCCGACTTTAAAGAAAACCTAATGAAATTGGAACATGAAGTGGAATTACAGAAAAAAGCAATCGAAAAATGTCTAGAAAATGAGGAAAAATATGGTATAATTACTTTTGTTTAGAAAATTAAGTGTATTTAAGTCAAATCAAATGCTCTCATAATTATATATCTTTATAATTTAGACTTGCTGATATAATAGATG